GAAGAGTGAGCTGAAGATGGAGATTGATGACTTGGCCAGCAACATGGAGTCTGTCTCCAAAGCCAAGGTAAAGAAAGGCAATAGAAAGTATTCATAGGGCAAAGGCACGGTGCTTAGGCTGTATTTACAAGTCACACTCGTACAATAATTCTGCTGTAAAAATCAGGCAGAGTCCAGAGTTTCATTTCCTTTCCTTCCTTGCTTTCAATACCTAGGCAAATCTAGAGAAGATGTGCCGCACTCTGGAGGACCAGCTGAGTGAGCTTAAAACCAAGGAGGAACAAAATCAGCGCATGATCAATGACCTCAATACCCAAAGAGCCCGTCTGCAAACAGAAACAGGTGACATATCCTAATTCTTGATGTCCAATGAGAGAACCTCTAAATTATAATGATACGTTACAGTGCAAAGGGAGAATTTAGCTAACATCTCATAACTATTCCAGATTCCATGGCTTTACAGGGTACCCAAGTGCCTGCTACTGTAGATGTTTTAAACATTTATATCATTTATCTTTAGTCAAACATGACCTCAGATCGCCAACAATGGCAATGGCCATGTGGACCACATCAGTAATAGTGTGGCCAGCAGGACTAGGGAAGGGATTAGTCATAAGGAAGAAATTCTTTAACCAGACAGTGGTGAGGCACAGGAACAGATTGTTCAGAGAAACAGTATATGTCCCTTCCGTGCAAGAGTTTAAGGCTAGGTTGGATGGAATTTTGAGCAACTTCATCTAATGGAAGGCATCCCAGCCCATGGCTGGGGGATTAGAAGTAGATGGGTTTGAAAGTGCCTTCCAACTCAAACTATTCTTTGACTCTATGATTGCATCACTTTATGATAGTCCCTCTATACTCGTCACTGGTGCGGCTGATTTGGATTCCTCACTACGCAAAAATTTTAGAGCTGCTGGAACAGCAGTGCTGATGATGCATCTAGAAAACAAGACATATGAGGGAACTGAGGTTGCTTAGTTTTGAGAAAAGGAGGCTTAGAGGAAACCTCATCATGCTCTATATTTTCTTAAAAGCTGGTTTTATTTTTTTTCTCAGTGATCTAGGGATAGGGAATGGTCTCTGTTTGCCCCAAGGGAGGTTCAGATCCGATGTTAGGAAGAATTTTTTCATGGAAAGGGTGGTTAGGCATTGGAAATGGCTGCTCAGAGAAGTATTAGAATCACTGGAAACATTTAAAAATGTGTGAATGAGACGCTTAAGGACGTGGTCAAGTGATACACTTCATAATGATACACAATGATGGAATTTATAAGACCTATGGGTCATATTGAGACCAAATCACTTTATGATCTATGATTCTACTGTTAGCATAACACTTTTTTTTTCTTTTCACTTTACATTTTCCAGGTGAATATTCTCGCCAGGCAGAGGAAAAAGATGCTTTGATTTCTCAGCTCTCTAGGGGCAAGCAGGGATTTACCCAACAGATTGAGGAACTGAAGAGACATCTAGAGGAAGAAATAAAGGTCTGGAAATACCTTCTTTCTTCAAGCCATGTTGCTATGATATGCATGTCTAGAATCCTATCTAAAACAAGAGCGGTTCAATGTTCTTTCCCCATACACTTGCAGTAAAGGAGGGAACAGCGTTTATACTTGAGGGGGAAGGAGCCATAGTGAATTTTATGCTAGAGGAAGTTATCCTTTGAGGAGATTCTGATACTCTGTAAGACAAGATCCATACTCATTTCTAGAAATATTTACAGAACCATCACATTACTGTCCCCAGGCCAATTTTCACTAACATATCTTGATCCTCTAGCACACATTTTTGAGGGATTCACTGTCTCTCAGCCTTACATTTGTTTCATCAGGGTTTACCCATCATTACCCCTGGAGCAGTACTCCTGCATATGATAATCCCACTGTCAATACGCATCTTAAGATATTCAGGTTAGCAATCCCAATGTCCACACAGGCCAAGAATGCCCTGGCTCACGCCTTACAATCTGCACGTCATGACTGTGAGTTGCTCCGAGAACAATATGAGGAGGAGCAGGAAGCCAAGGGTGAGCTGCAGCGTGTCTTGTCCAAGGCCAACAGCGAAGTGGCCCAGTGGAGAACCAAATATGAGACGGATGCTATTCAGCGCACAGAGGAGCTGGAGGAGGCCAAGTATGTGGGAAATTAGGATGTGAAATGGCTGGAGAAGTCTGAGATTATCAAGGGAAATTAGAAGTCTCTGATAATGGATTAAGATAGGGTTGGGATGAAGGCAGTGACATACTTGCTAGTGGTAGAAGAGAGAGAGGAAAAGCATGCTGCGAAAAAGTGCAGACTGCATGACATGCATACACTTTAGGATTTTGTTAAGCTAACAAAGGCTGAATACTCAGTAGGTGTTAAGACAAAGCTTAGACAAACCCTTTAGAATGCATGCAACCACAGTGCAGAAAATTCACTGAACAGATGGAGGGTCAAAATCCCCAAAGTGATCAAGTGCCCTCTTATGAATGTAAAACGCAGGCTCCCTCTTCGTCTCTAACCTGCAGCTCTGCTTGCCTCCTTCCAGGAAGAAGCTGGCACAGCGCCTGCAGGATGCAGAGGAACACGTTGAAGCTGTGAATGCCAAATGTGCTTCCCTGGAAAAGACAAAGCAGAGGCTGCAGAATGAGGTGGAGGACCTGATGGTTGATGTGGAGCGATCAAATGCTGCCTGTGCAGCTCTGGACAAGAAACAGAAGAACTTTGACAAGGTATTCTGGGCTCCAGGCCTGTGTTTCTTGGGCAGAACATGATTACCATATCCCTACTCATGATCTGCTTTTCCTCAGATCTTGGCGGAGTGGAAGCAGAAGTACGAGGAAACACAGACTGAGCTGGAGGCCTCCCAGAAGGAGTCTCGCTCCCTCAGCACAGAGCTGTTCAAGATGAAGAATGCCTATGAGGAGTCCCTGGACCACCTGGAAACGCTGAAGCGAGAGAACAAGAACTTGCAGCGTAAGTCGCTCAGCCTTTCCTGCTGGCGGGGCTTCCTCAGAAGCTTTCCTGCCCACCTCTCCACCTGGGTCTGTGCCTGCAGTGATGGGAGCAGGCCTGTTATGCTGGTGTCACAGGGCTTTTCCCTGTATGCTCTGTATCTGATCATGTGATTGTTCCTTCTTCTCTACAGAGGAGATTGCCGACCTCACGGAGCAGATTGCAGAGGGAGGAAAAGCGGTTCATGAGCTGGAGAAAGTCAAGAAGCATGTTGAGCAGGAGAAGTCTGAACTCCAAGCCTCTCTGGAGGAAGCTGAGGTGCACAGTGCTAAAAATTGTTTCCAATCTTATGGAATGGAAACAGTAATCTGTAGATATTGTGGAAAATATAGACTATATTCTGAAGGATTGCATATGAGACTGCTTAGAGAGGAAACTATATTTCTACTCACTGTTTCTTTTTGACTTGTTCAGGCCTCCCTGGAACACGAAGAGGGGAAGATCCTGCGCCTCCAACTGGAGCTTAACCAGATCAAATCTGAGATTGACAGGAAGATAGCTGAGAAAGATGAGGAAATTGACCAGCTGAAGAGAAATCACCTCAGAATTGTGGAGTCCATGCAGAGCACCTTGGATTCTGAGATTAGGAGCAGGAATGAAGCCCTGCGGCTGAAGAAGAAGATGGAGGGAGACCTGAATGAAATGGAGATCCAGCTGAGCCATGCCAACCGCATGGCTGCTGAGGCACAAAAGAACCTGAGAAACACACAAGGAACACTCAAGGTATGAAGCTAAATAAGAGACATAGGCATATTGCTTCCCTCCTGTTATACAGAGTCATCATTACAATTGTAATTCATTAAAAGAGTAGGAAATGTCACTATCCACAGGGCTCCATTGCTCTGCCAGCTTGTAAACTACTTTTTCTGCTTTACAGGATACCCAGATACATTTGGATGACGCTCTCAGAACACAGGAGGATCTGAAGGAACAGGTGGCCATGGTGGAGCGCAGAGCAAACCTGTTGCAGGCTGAAGTTGAGGAGCTACGAGGAGCCCTGGAGCAGACGGAGCGCTCAAGGAAAGTGGCTGAGCAGGAGCTTCTGGACGCAACTGAACGTGTGCAACTTCTCCACACCCAGGTCAGATTATTTCCAGGGAATTAATCCCATCAGCATGAGATAGTGTAGAATGAGATATTGCTATGTATTTTACTTATTGCTGTGCATATCACTGTGTTAAACACTTGAAGAGCAATACTGTGACATATCTAATCTAGCTAGCCATCCCTATCTGGTTTGCCACCATGTCTCTAAAGAGGACTCCTGCATTACAAACTTTAAGAAACATTATTCTCCTTCTCAGTTCTTGATGTGGAGGTATCAGGTCTAACAGTAAAAATCCTAACATTTCTGTTATGCAGAATACCAGCTTGATCAACACCAAAAAGAAGCTGGAAACAGACATTGTGCAAATTCAGAGTGAAATGGAAGACACCATCCAGGAAGCCCGCAATGCTGAAGAGAAGGCCAAGAAGGCCATCACCGATGTGAGTCAGGGCTCTTTCACTGCAGATGGCCCACGCATTTCCCCCAAGAGGTCTCTGACTCCAAACCTGGCTTTGCTGCTTTGCCTCTCCAGGCGGCCATGATGGCAGAAGAGCTGAAGAAGGAGCAGGACACCAGTGCCCACCTGGAGAGGATGAAGAAGAACATGGACCAGACAGTGAAGGACTTGCAGCTCCGTCTGGATGAGGCAGAGCAGCTGGCTCTGAAGGGAGGCAAGAAGCAACTCCAGAAGCTGGAGGCCAGGGTGCGTAGGACTGGTATTTGTGCAAGAGTGTGCAATCCCTGGTCAGAGATAGTAGGGAATCTCCAAATATGCGTTTCTCATTGCAGGTGCGGGAGCTGGAAGGGGAGGTTGATTCTGAGCAGAAGCGCAGCGCTGAAGCTGTGAAGGGTGTGCGCAAGTACGAGAGGAGGGTGAAGGAGCTGACCTACCAGGTAAGGCAGTAAGCCTCCTTGAGTTGATACCCCTTACACCCAGCGCATCAAAATGGTTGTGTACCATCCCCATGGGGTATTGTTTCCTCATTTGCTGGGAAGCAATTCTTTCTTTCCTGCTTATCAACTTTAGACTGAGGAAGACCGGAAGAATATTCTCAGGCTCCAGGATCTGGTGGACAAACTGCAGATGAAAGTGAAATCCTACAAGAGACAAGCTGAGGAGGCTGTAAGTATAACTTGAAGAATGAGTGAGAGTAATTTTACTTCAAGGAAGTATGATTGTAGAGATCAGAATGAAAACCAGAAAAGGGTCTGAAAGAATCTTCCGAGACACAACTTGTCTTGGCTCATTGTTCATTATCATGTCAGGCGGCCTTGCTTTCTTTGGGGCATGCTACAGTCAGGGATGTTCTGCAGCCTAGTTTATCCAGGAAATCAAACTAAAATTGCCAACATCCATTAAAGAGGCTCATGAATCTGTGACAGTAATCAACATCACAGGGTTTTCATGTGTTTCTGAATCTAACAAATGAAATGTAAATCAGGTACTAGGGAGGAGGAGAATAAGTACAAGAAAAAATAAGACCATGTGACAAAACAGCTCCTCAAGAGTGACAAATTTCTGGTGCTGTTTGTTAATGTGGGTTCTCAAATAAGAGAGGATGAGGAAGTCTTTGTGAGTCTTACATTTAAGCCGTGGTAGGCAGGAGACAAGGAGGCCTGTGCTTTCTTCTGGGGATCTACCACAGCCCCTCAAGGCCTGGGCACAGGAGGACTGAAACCCCTGTCATGGTTCCTCACCGCCAACTCCTTGTCCTTGTACAGGAGGAGCTGTCCAATGTCAACCTCTCCAAATTCCGCAAGATCCAGCACGAGCTGGAGGAAGCAGAGGAGCGGGCTGACATTGCAGAGTCACAGGTCAACAAGCTCCGTGTGAAGAGTCGGGAGATTCATGGCAAGAAGATAGAAGAGGAAGAGTGAGAATGTCATGATAGTAAAGTGGCATAAGGAATTCACAAAATGTGAAAACTCTGTCACTTTTTTCCATAATTTGTATTTTTAACCCCCTCCATACATGGCAAATAAAAGGATTACTTCACAGACACATCACAAGCATTAGTTTTCATCTCTTCCTCTTGTAACTGGTTACTGTGTCTATTATCATTTTCTTTTGGGCCCAACTTTGGCTTATACCCTTTGCGTGTTATCACCACAGTAGAGCTTTCTGTCTCCTAGCAGCCAATTGCTTAGCACTTCTATCTCAATTCACTAGTTGTGAATTAGTGATTGGAACAAGATTAGAAATGACATTTCAAAGGCAGGGAAATCACAGCCATCGCTCTTCAAACCAAAGAGGCTTTATCCACTTCACTTATTTAATTATAGTACACATTTCACATTAAAGGGTAACTTCTGCAGTAGCATCCATAGTCAAGTCCAACCCTTGATCCCAAGCCCATCAATAGGATGCGTCTCTTCCATGATGACCTGAGGTATCATGGGCATACCAAGCTACAAATAATTCATCCTTACGTTGCCTGTCTAGATCTACTTCAGCCATTGATCCACCTGCTGTTGTTGTGATGTTCTTCAGTGGCACAACTCTTGGGTACATGAGCATCTGTGTGACGTACCTTTACAACCATGTTCTCTATCAGGGCAGCAAGATCTTTCCACAGTGCAGTGGCCCAGATGGGTTTGCCTCTCCACTGCCAGTTGTTCTGCTTCCATATCTGTAATTACACCCAGAGGGCATCTGCCACCCCCCAGGAGTCAGTGTAGACATAGAGCACTGCCACTTCTCTCATTCAGCAATGCCTAAAGCTAGCCAGCTGGGTGGCTCTCTGCAAATTCTGCTCAATTTACCTTCTCCTTCAGTACCTGGACTGGATTTCCTGTTCAGGTCCTTTGACCTTACTTTGTTTTATAAAAAACAAAACAAAACAACAAAAAAAAACAGCTTCTGGAAGGATTTGAACTGATTTTTTTCCTTTCTGAAAAACTTTCTTTTCTGCATATCCTCATTTAATGATGTCATCAACTTAATGCAGGTTCAGGAGCTTCCCCTGTCTCAGAGCAGTCTGGATCAGCCCACTGGAAACTAGAGCAGCCATTTTCCTGGAAGAACACTCTCTTGTGATGGTTTTTCCCTTCCAATTCACATACATGTGCCTGTAGAGTCAAGGTGGGTTTTCCATCCTGCTTTCTCATATCCTCTCCATGGTCATGTGGTTAAAACCATAGGATGGTAGATAGTCTAAACCCACTTACTCCTGTTCCTCAAGTGGTTTGCACAGGTGCAGGAGAAAACTTACTCTCTTTTTCTTTGGGTCATTTAACCAGCTTGTCTATAGCTGAGACACAGACTTGTAGGAAGGAAGAGACATTTTCTTCATATTGTCAAAGTGGGCTAGCCACTTCAGAAACTGTTGGTCTTTTGTTATCATTCAAGATCACTGCTGTCAGAATGCTGGCATATTACAGCATCACAGAATCACAGAATTACATGGGTTGGAAGGGATCTCAAGAGATCATCAAGTCCAACCTCTCTGCTAAAGCAAGTACTCTACAATAGACTGCACAGGTAGACATCCAGGCGGGTCTTGAATATCTCCATATAAGGAGATTCACAATCTCTCTGGGCAGCCTGTTCCAGTGCTCTGTCACTCTTACTATGAAGAAGTCCTTCCTCATGTTTGCATGGAACTTCCTATGTTCAAGTTTTAGGCCATTGCTCCTTGTCCTGTCGCTACACACTGAGAAGAGCCTGGCATCATCCATTTGTGTCCCACGTCACTTTTTGGATATTTATAAACATTAATCAGATCCCCCTCAGTCTTCTTTTCCCCAAGCTGAACAGACCCAGGTTACTCAACCCTTCCTCATACAGGAAATGTTCCAGGCCCTTACTAATCTTTGTAGCCCTCTACTGGACACCTTCATAGAATCACAGAATGGCCTGGGTTGAAAAGGACCACAGTGATCACCTGGTTTCAACCCCGTGCTATGTGCAGGGTTGCCAACCAGCAGACCAGGCTGCCCAGAGCCTCATCCAGCCTGGCCTTGAATGCCTCCAGGGATGGGGCATCCACAACCTCCTTGGGCAACCCGTTCCAGTGCCTCACCACCCTCTGGGTGAAGAACTTCCTCCTAATATCAAACCTAAACCTCCCCTGTCTCAGTTTAAAACCATTCCCTCTTGTCCTATCACTATCACCTTCTAGGAGATCCTTGTCTTTTTTAAACTGGGGAGCCCGGACCTGAACGTAGTATACTAAATATGACCTCACCAGGGCAGACCAGAGGAAAAGGATCACCTCCCTTGACCTGCTAGCCACTCTCTTTTTAATGCACCCCAGGATATCATTGGCCTTCTTGACCTCAAGGGCACACTGTTGACTCATGGCCAATCTGTTGTCCACCTGGATGCCCAGGTCTTCCTCCACACAGCTACTTTCCAGCAGGTCATCCCCTAACCTATGCTGATGAACAGAGTTTTTCCTCCCCAAGTGCAGGACTTATTTGCTCTTTTTAAATCAGGTTCTTCCCTGACCAGTTCTCCAGTCTGTCCACGTCTCGTTGCACGGCAGCACAGACTTCTGGTGTTCCAGCCACTCCTACCAGCTTTGTATCATCATCAAACTTTCTGAGGTGGATCTATCCCTTCATCCAGGTCACTGATGACTATGTTGAACAAGACTGGACACAGCATTGATACTTGGGGAACACTGCTAGTTACAGGCCTCCAACCAGACTCTATGTTGCTAATGATAGCCCTCTGAACTCTATCAGTCAGCCGGTTCACAATCCATTTCACCCTCCACTCATCTATCCCACCATTTTCTAAGTTTAATAACATGGATGTTGTGGGAGGCTGTGTCAAATGCCTTGCTGATGTCAAGGTACACAAAATCCATTGCTCTCCCCTCTTCTACCCAGCCAGTGATGACATAATAGAAAGCTATCAGGTTGGCTGATCATGATTTCCCCTTGCTGAATCCATGTTGAATACTCACAATTTTCTCTTCCAATTGCTTGGAGATGGCATCCAGAACAAGTTGTGATACACTCTCTACACATCTTCACTACAAAGACTGTGTGTACTTGATGTTATTTGGATCTTGGAATAACATATTGTCCAAGTTACTATCATTTATTATCTCTACCACACTAATTCCCTTAGGTACTGGACACCTGTCTCGATGGTGGTCCATTTTCCTGGGTTAAATATCAGCACTTCCTTGAAGCATATTTTACCTTCATGGCTGATGAGTGTTTCACCACAGGCTGAAGGTCTATGTCCCTTTTCCTATTATTTTGTCAATGCCAGCTGTCTTAGAAAGAGATCCCAGCCATTTGGTTTCACTGCCCACTAAATCCAGACTACTGTCTCCATTATCTCAGCACTGGAGCAGCCAGGTGGCAATATGCTCACCATAACTATGGCTGAAATCTCTTTCCATATCTCACAGTTCATCTAACATTAGGCGTCAGATGATTCTCTTTTAGGAGTTCTGTCTCTCTTCTCCTCCTGTTTTTGTGATAGCTCTGCTTCATCTGCTTCATCTTCATTTTTCCCTCTTAGTAAGAATTTCTTTCCTTACTAAACAATCTGATTTTCATTGCCATTTTTTCCCGTTTGCTTATAGGGACAACTGACACTGGCATTGACTGGTTCTTTGGCTCAGCCTCAGGGCCTATTGCAGAGGTTGGTTCAGTCACAGGGCTGTTGCTGGGGTTGAGTCAGATCCAGAGGCATTTTCTTTTGAGGGTACTGAGTAATGCTGAATAGTCTTTAATTGGTTCAGGCCATGCACCAACACAGTGCTGTTACTCTTTGACATTACCAGGATCAGGGCATAACTTTTAAAAGCATTCTGTTAGCTGTTTAGGATTCTGCACTTGTTCAGGGTGAGTTGCAGATCCATCAGAAGTGATCATCTGCGCATATCTTCCCACACACCTTACCACCCACAGTCATCTTGCCCCAGGGCAGATCTCTGGGTGGTATTTTTGAATAATTTCTTAACCATAAATTAAACAGGATACACATACAGAAGACATAGCAATAAGATCATGCCTGTTTGAACTCTTCAGGTATATTCAAAATTTTCAACAACTGCTTTAGCTTGCCTAGAATAGAGAGTGTACTTGATAAGAATTTCTGCAGTAAGGTTCCTGTAGTCAGAGAATGGTGGCAATACTGAATACAACTCTTTGTGAAGAGTCTTCAGGATGATTGTTAACAGCCTGCTTAGACGGGTCATGCTTTCCTTAAATATCCATGTCTCTTAAAACGCTGGCTGGAGGTGGACAAAATCACTGAATATCCTGAGTTGGATGGGGTCCATAAAGCTCTTGAGTCCATCTCCTGCTTCCACACAGCACAGCCCCAAAATCAAACCATAATCTAAGAGTGTTTTCCCAATGCTTATCAAACTGCCAGGCTTGCTGCTGTGACCACCTCCCTGTGCTGCATGTTCAGTCGCCCCTCTGTGGAGAACTTTTTAATTACACGCCATTCCCACAAGCCATATTGCTTGTTCCCTATCAGAAAAGATCAGAGCCTCCCCCATCACTCCCCTCGTGAGGAAGCTGTAGGCCACATGGAGGTCTCCCTCCATGTCTCAAAATGTGAAAGAAAGCTACTGTGACGTGCCAACACAAGAAATATTCTCATCCCAGTAAGATTCAAAGGGTTTATGGCATCATCCGAGGCTGAAACTGTACAAACGAGGCAAGATTTATCAGCAGCTGGAGGCCTAACATCTGCAGTGCCCTATGGCCCTGCCCACACAGGTGCAGAGGAGCATGTAGGCAGGTAAGAAGATTGATGGCTTCCTGGGGACCAAATCCAACAGACAGTTGCTGGCAGGACAGAGTAAAGCCCTGCAATTGCAAACACAGTGCCTGCAGCCCCCCTCAGGAGGATGCACAGCCAGCAGTGGCAAGGCCCTGCTGTGGTTGCTGCTGCAGTGCCCACCAGGAAGGGGAAGGGAGCAGCAGTACCTGCCCTTCTCCAGAGGCAGAGACAATTCCCGGGTCCTGCTAGGGTTGACCTACTGGGGCCCTGCTCATCCAAAGTGTAA